AAAAAAAAAAAAAAAAAAAAAAAAAAAGAAGAAGAAGTAGTAGTACAGCTGTAGTAGAGACTAAAACTGAAGGCAGGGCCACTGAGACACACACAAATATATTAGCTAGATGGATAAATAAAATTTAAAGCCTCTAAAAAATAAAAACATGGGGGAAAAGACATTATCATTTTGATCTCATTGTTTTTCAGTGGGGGTCGGGGGGGTGTTGGTTTTTAATAGTAGCTTCTGATAACTGTAACTATTTCTTCTAGGCTTTGCTCCTATAAAATGAAAACATACCTCATCTCACCAAACTTTCCATGTCAAAGTACTCTCTAAGTTGAAAACTGTGATACAAATAGCACGTTACTATGCATTCATCTTCCTACTCTTAAATGTTCCCCTTTTCTCTAAGCAAATATACACATAATCACCTCTACCTAATCTCTCACTACATTTAAGTGTTCTTGAAATTCTACTGAGCTTAATTTCAGCATTCTCCAATCTGTTGTCCTAACTTTCTTATATTTTTCTATATTCAATTCTAACTAGAAGACTTCATCCAATTTCCAAACCTCAACTATTTTCTGACAGTCTAAATCTAGAACATTGTCTCTTTGTACAACTTCACTCTTCTGAGTCTTAATTTCATATTTTCTACAAAGTCTTAACATAAATAACACAAATCAAAATACAAAGAAAATTTAAATAGCTTATAATCTAGCTTGAAAATCTGTATTATAAACTGAATGTCTGTTTTTTTTGTCTAAAGCAGCAGCTCTCAACCTGTGGGTCCCAACCCCTTTAGGGGTTGAATGACCCTTTCACAGGGGTCACCTAAGACCACTGGAAAGTCCAGATATTTACATTACATTTCATAACAGTGGCAAAATTAGTTATTCAGTAATAACAAAAATAATGTTATGGCTGGAAGTCATAATGAGGGGCTGTATCAAAGGGTCGCAGCGTTAGGAAGGTGGAGAACCACTGGCCCAAAGAAACTTTTTCTTTAGACCATATTAAAGAAATTCTTTTAGAGCATACAAATGAATTTCATTTCTTTAGACCATATTACAAGTAAATAAAAGTTCTTCAGACAACTTTTACCCAATAATACTATTTTTTTAGACCTTGCTTAGCATACATCCTATATAACTGCAAAAAAATTTAGTTATTTTCCACAGTTACAAATTATGCCGTACTGTCTTTAAATTGTAAATCAGAAATATGAAATATTTTGTAACAATAAAAACACCACCAGTTCTAACTCCACTAATTCAGAGTGTTCAATCCCACACATTTAAAATTTTAAAACTGTAGTAATTCAATCTCAAAGGGCTAGAGAGATGGCCCAGTGGTTAAGAACACTGGATGCTTTTTCTAAGAACCAGGGTTCAATTCCCAGAACCCGTATCATATGGTGGCTAACAATTGTTTGTAACTGTTTGTTTGACTGATATATATATATATATATATATATATATATATATCCCCTAATCAGGTATGAACATGGCATAATGCTTAATACACTCAATATTCCTTTCCTTTAGGTTGTCTAACTCTTTTTTTCAAATTTTAAGAAAATAAATATCCCTTATTCCCCTACTAAAAGACAGCAAAACTGCCGGGCAGTGGTGGTGCACACCTTTAATCCCAGCACTTGGGAGGCAGAGGTAGGCGGATTTCTGAGTTCGGGGCCAGCCTGATATACAGAGTGAGTTCCAGGACAGCCAGAGATATACAGAGAAACCCTGTCTTGAAAAACAAACAAACAAACAAACAAAAACAAAAAAACAAAAAAAAGACAGCAAAACATAAACTTGTTCAGCAGCATAAAGTGAAAAAGTACCAAAGCCCAGAGTTTGTAGTACAGAGTCCAGTTTTTTTTGAAGTTATAAAGGCTAGCTAAGTAGTATTGCTTTTGTTGCTGTTTTAACTGTAGCTTATTTTTAAAGCCCTTAAGACAAACTATACACAAATTCTCCCTTCCCCATTATTATACATCTCTTAAAGTATTTCCAGAAGGATATTACTCCCAAATATAGCATATAAAAGATTTACTAGAAATACAAAAGCATTTATTACTGACAACTCATTTACTTTTAAGCATTAATCAAGTATTTACTCAGGATATTTTACTTACCGAGACAATGTTGTTTTTCCAGAACCAGGGAGTCCTCGCAAAAGAATAAGTAATTTCTGCAATTTATTTAACTTCTCCTCTTGAATCCACTGGTTCACAAACCTGTCCGTTTCATAATGCTTGTCAATGGAAGGATCTTGCCAGCACTCTCTGATTTCACAGAAACCATTATCCACACTTTCATCTTGTACACTGTAGCCATTTCTAAAGGGATAGACATCATTGCTGGTCATATCATAGCTAGCATACTCATCATTCTGATCAAAAGTCAAACAGCTCCAGCTATCCTGATAACTATCCACATAACACCCATTCTGCATCTGAGATTCATCTTGCACATGGAAAACATCTGGTGGTGGGTGTAGGGGGGCACCAAATCTTTGCATATTAAAATAATTAAAACTGGGAAGAGGATCATGGGGTATGACAAAAGGATGTATTGACTGCCATTCAGGCCTGAAGGAAGGAAATGAAGTTTCACAAAAAGTAGGTATCAACTGTTCATCACAGGGGTAGTCTGGCTCATCCTCCAAGTACTCTTGATAACCATAATGTGACTGAAGAACATTACTCAGATCTTTATTTTCTTCCTCAGATTTTAAGGCATTACAGGCCGGATCATAAGGAATAATTTGTTCCTGGGAAGGTTCTGGCTCCTTACAACTGCCTTGGGAAGCTTCATTTTCATTTTCCAGTTCTTCAATTTCTTTGTAAAACTGGGATAACTCCGTGTCGATCTCCAATTTTTTGGAGTTAAATTTCTCTTGTCTTCTTTTGCTATCTATACTATTGAAAGTATTCGTCTCACTCTTTCTTTCACGGCATTTCTTTTTTTCAGGGGGTTTGTAAATGGGGCCTATGAATGCTTTACTTGTGCTATAGATTTCATCATCCCTGGCCAGTGGTGAAGGCTTTCCATCCTGCAAAGCTTGTGAACCACTGGATTCAGTACCACCTAGTTTATTACCGGACACCTCCTTGTGCAAAGGCTTTAACACATCTGTACTGGTTTTGTCTTCCTGAGGACAAACACGTCTTCTGAAGTTAATGGTGGCTACAGGGACCCTATTATTTCTGTTTTTTTCTTGGATTCTGTGACTATCAGGACCACCTCGATGGGGGAAAACACCATCATCTGCAGCTGATTTCAATTTTTTATAGCATGGTTCCCTTGTTGGTTCTTTTCCAGGTCCCAAAAACTTAGCTTCAATTTCACTACAAGACATCTGCAGAGTAAAGCATACAATTATTAGTGCACATTTTTAAAAAATATAAACAAACGTGTTTTCATGAGAGGAATTTTAGAAAAGAATTTTTGATACATTTAATAGTAAGACCTTCCCAACTACAGTCGAACTGTAATTTTATAATCACTCATCTTAAGTATTGTCATAATAATGAATGGGAGGACTCTGAAGTTAGCATCATCTAAAAATGTATGTGTACCTCATTTTTTTTGGAGGTAAAGAAGATGAACTTATGATCTCATGAAAGCTAAACAAGCACTCCACAAAGAGTTATATCCTATTGTCTTTTTTTTCATGTTGTGAGAATGTCTCACTAAGAGGTGGCCTTGAATTCACTCTGTAGAATACAGTGATGCCCTGAACTTTCCATCCTTCTGAGTTGCTGAGATTACAAGCCTGTGCTACCAGTCCTATCTTTAAACAATCCATTCTAGAATTTAAGAACCTAAATTTGGAAACTTTAATCCACATTGTGTATATTTATATGTGTATGTACAGATACAGAACTGACATTTGTTTCTAAACTGGCTATGGCTGTTTAAAACCATCATGTCTTACCAACAGATTGGGAAAAGATCTTTACCAATCCTACATCCGATAGAGAGCTAATATCCAATATATACAAAGAACTCAAGAAATTAGACTCCAGACAACCAAATAACCCTATTAAAAATGGGGTACAGAGCTAAACAAAGAATTCTCAACTGAGGAAACTCGAATGGCTGAGAAGCACCTAAAGAAATGTTCAACATCCTTAGTCATCAGGGAAATGCAAATCAAAACAACCCTGAGATTCCACCTGACACTAGTGAGAATGGCTAAGATCAAAAACTCAGGTGATAGTAGATGGTGGCGAGGATGTGGAAAAAGAGGAACACTCCTCCATTGTTGGTGGGATTGCAAGCTAGTACAACCACTCTGGAAACCAGTCTGGCGGTTCCTCAGAAAATTGGACATAGAATTACCTGAGGACCCAGGGCAGAGGATACCACTCCTGGGCATATACCCAGAAGATGCTCCAACATATAACAAGGACATATGTTCCACTATGTTCATAGTAGCCTTATCTATAATAGCCAGAAGCTGGAAAGAACCCAGATGTCCTTCAACAGAGAAATGGATACAAAAAAAATGTGGTACGTTTACACAATGGAGTATTACTCAGCTATTAAAAAACAATGAATTTGCAGGTGGTGGTGGTGGCGGCGGCGGCGGCGGCGCACATCTTTAATCCCAGCACTTGGGAGGCAGAGGCAGACGGATTTCTGAGTTTGAGGCCAGCCTGGTCTACAGAGTGAGTTCCAGGACAGCCCGGGCTATACAGAGAAACCCTGTCTCGAAACCACCCCCCACCCACAAAAGAAAGAAAGAAAGAAAGAAAACAATGAATTCGAGAAATTCTTAGGTAAATGGATGGAACTAGAAAATATCATCCTGAATGAGGTAACCCAATCACAAAAGAACACATATGGTATTCACTGACTGATAAATGGATATTAGCCCAAAAGCTTGAAATAGCCAAGATTCAACTCACAGACCACATGAAGCGCAAAAATAAGGAAGACCAAAGTGTGGGTCCTTTATTCCTTCTTAGAAGGAGTAACAAAATACTCAAGGGAGCAAATATGGAGACAAAGTGTGGGACTGAAACTGAAGGAGGGGCCGTCTGGAGACCATTCCTCCTGGGTATCCATCCCATGTGCAGTCACCAAAGGTGACGCTGATTTAGATGTCAGGAAGTGCATGTGGACAAGAGCCTGATACAGCTGTCTCCTTAGAAGTCTGCAAGAGTCTGACATATTCAGAAGTGGATGCTCACAGCTAACCATTGATCTGATCAAGGGGCTCCCAATGGAGGAGTTAGAAGACTGAAGGAGCTGAAAGGGTTTGCAGCCCTATGAGGAGAGCAATCATACCAACCAACCAGAGCTCTCAGGGCCTAAACCACCAGCTTGGGAGCACATAGGGAGGGATCCATGACTCCAGCTGTATATGTAGGGGAGGACGGACGGCCTTGATGGGCATAGGTGAGAGAGGAGATCCTTGGTTCCATGAAGGCTGGACATCAAGTGTGGGGGAATTCGAGGGTGGGGAGGTGGGAGTAGGGGCACATCCTCATAGAAGCAGGAGGAGGGGGGATGGGATAGGGGGTTCCTGGGTGTTTGGGGGGAATGGGGTAAGGGTATAACACCTGAAATGTAAATATAACATCCAATAGAAAAAAAGTTTTAAAAAAAAAAAGAAAAAATTATCATGTCTTTTGGGTTATGTTTCAATTTCCAAACTTCAATCATCTTTAGCATCCAAATACCAGATTAATTAAATAATTAACATGCAGTCTTTGTGGGCCTTTTCCTTCCAAGTAGTATAAACAGTGTAAAAGCAATCCCCAATTGAGTGTAATAATTTGGAGAAAAAAAGTTTTGAGTTTCAGTGATGATACAAATTATGCTTAAGAAAAATAATCAGGAAACTTTAAAAATCAAATCATCTTTTCTAGCAGTTTCTCTAACTTAAAAAAACACACTTTTCAGGCAAGAGTGGTTTATGACTGTAACACTAGTGTTTGACAGAGAAAGGAAGATCAGAAGTTCAAGACCAGCCTGGACTACATAGTAAGTTCAAGGTCAGTCAGCAATACCGAAGACCCTATCAATAAATTAATTAAAATTACACTTCTCTTGACAGGCCCTGGTAGCTCAAACCTGTAAGCCTATCAATAGGCGATTTCCAGTCCAGTGTGGGCTGGCTACACAAATGGGTTCCAGAGCAGCTTGGTTTAGAGAGTCTATGTCTTTAAAAAAAAAAAAGATCACAACTTCGCTTCTCTTGTCATATTTTTTTGGAACTGCTAAGAAATCAAAAGCCCTCTTTTGGTCAGTACGTCATTCGGCCTACTCTTGGAATCAAACCCTACGAACTAGATTAGGAAGCTCCAACTGCGGAGAAAGCCATTTTCCCGGAAACAGCCCCCACCTCAGCCACATCCTCCCATTTCCTCATTCTAACGTCAGAGATCCCTGAGGAAGAGCAGAAGGGTGCACTAACATCTCTAGTGCCCTACCTGGGCCCCAAGGCTTCCTGACCCCTAGGCAAGCTGCCAGGCCAGAGGCGCCCCAGCTTCTCCGACCCTAAGGAAAACGTCAATATCCCTTCTAAGAATCTGGGGAGACCTCGAAGGCTGGAAGATTTCTCTTGGGACTTCCACGCTCACGATTAGGCGAAAGAGTCCGGTCAAGTCACCAGGGAAAACTCGAGCCGTTCACCGCAGACGAAACCGGAAATACCTCCCTTACCTACGACGGGACACTTGCTCACCTCAAGCTCTGTATGTACTTCCACCACCTTCCTCAAGTCCTCCCACAACACTCCCCCCGCCCAAAAAAAAAAAAAAAGAACTTCCGCGAATACACGAACCTCCAGGAAGGCGAAAGACCGTCCAAAACGTAGCTATTAAACGGAGCTGGAAAGAGAGGCGACGCTGGAGCAGTTCCATACGCAAGATGGCCGCCACCTCTTGGATTACCCATGCAGCACCGCGGGCTCACGCCAGGCATTATGGGGATTAAAGTCCGGCGTTCCCTACAATCCTAGTTTACTTCATGGCACCGAGACTCAGTCTTCCAGAGTTCATTGCATGACGTATGCGCTAATTTGGCCACAAACGTAGACTCAGTCTTGGTCCCCGCCCTGGAGGGGGGAAGTTACTTAAAAAACACCAACTTTATTTATAAAGGCAGCGACATCCTCTGGCATACACGACTGAAAAAGAACAGAGTGTTTGGCGCCCCCAGGTGGATCCACAAGCCTCTACGGTGAGTGAACAGTTTTCAGGCTTTTTAGGAGACAAAAGAATCAGCCTAGGCTTCAAAGGAGAAAACATTTTGTGTAACGGAATTCGGTTGCTATGGTTTCTAAGAAACAGTATGAAATACAATTTTAAGCTTCTGAACTTCTGTGGAAGAATAGAGTGCCTGTACCTCAGAGCCCCATAACAGATAGATGACTCTTAGGGGAAAAAGAAATTATAAAATATCTTACGTCCAGATAGGACAACTATGTATTGAATTAAAAATAAATACCAATCAAATAATGACTAGCTTCAGTTAAGGATCCTTTTTTTCTTTTCCATTACTATTGGCCTGTCGTCCTCTCCACCCCTTCCTTCTATTGGGTCCCCGCAAGAAAATCAGCCATCTCATCATATTTGAATAAGTCTTGGCTCCAACACAATAATATTTAATATTTTAATTTGTAAGTATAATAGCTAAAAGTCACAGTGTAGATATTTACATTAGAATATTTAACACCATTATTATGACTCAGAGGGCTCACAACCTATCCCTCTTGCAGGATCTTCTTGAAATACAATTTTCACTACAACTTTTTTCCCTTGTGTTTAGCTTCAAGTTATGCATCATTTTTATAAAAATAAACACTTAAAAATCACTATTTTAGGGCTGGAGAGATGGCTCAGCGGTTAAGAGCACTGACTGCTCTTCCAGAGGTCCTGAGTTCAAATCCCAGCAACCACATGGTGGCTCACAACCATCCGTAATGAGATTCGATGCCCTCTTCTGGTGTGTCTGAAGACAGCTACAGTGTACTCATAAATAAAATAAATAAATAAATCTTTAAAAAAAAAAAAAAATCACTATTTTAGCCGGGTGGTGGTGGTTAATCCCAGCACTTGGGAGGCAGAGGCAGGCGGATTTCTGAGTTCCAGGCCAGCCTGGTCTACAGAGTGAGTTCCAGGACAGCCAGGGGTACACAGAGAAACCCTGTCTTGAAAAACCAAAAATAAATAAATAAATAAATAAATAATCACTATTTTATTTTATGTGTGTGAGTATTTTACCTGAATGAGTGTACGGGTGTACAGGGAAGCCAGGAGCGAGTCAGATCTCATGGAGCCAGGCTGACCTTAAAAGCCAAGGAGATTTCACCTAGAATTTCTGATTCTCCTGCTTGGATTACAGGCCTGCACCTCCATGCCCACCCAAAGGAAAAAAAAAAAAAAAAAACCTTTTTTCTTTTTTTTTTTTACTTTCATGGTGATATCATATCATTGTAATATCTTACATTTTAATAATATGTCATGTGTTTGGATTTAGAGATAGAATGAAAGGTTAAATAGTAGAAATACTTTTACTCTCACATTTTTCCTTGCCATGCTGGGTTGGCAGTTTTCTACTGCCATAACTCCTAGCCAGTATTCAGTCACATATTTGGGTCCTGGGGATTGAATTCAGATTGTCCAGGCTTAGCAGCAAGTGCCTTTATCTACTGAGCCAGCCCTCTCACCAGCCGATATGAAATGTCAAAGATGAAGATTACATATACTTCTTGTGTTGATTCATTTAAACTGTTAAAAATGCCTTTCTTTCATTTTTAAGTATTAAAAATGTATTCCCATAGTTTGGGGGGATTGGAAAATCCAAAATGAGTCCATGGATTTGTGAGGGCATCACTTTGGGTATATATATTGAATCTTCTAGCCATTTCTCTTCACATGGACAGACAGGGGAAACAGCACCTTTTAAATTGTGTGTGTGAGTGTGTGTATGTGTGAATGTATCCATATTCCATGGCACTTGTGTAAAGGTCAAAGAACAACTTTTCAGGAGTTGGTTCTCTCTGTCACCTTGCTTTGAGGCAGAATCTCTCTTGGTTTATTGTCGTACTATGTATTCTAGGCTAGCTGGGCTGTACACTTCTGGCTGATTCTATCTGTATGGTCCACTTTGTAGTAGGGCGGCCAGGATTACAGATGCGTGCCATCTCATCCAGGGTCCTGCCATGGTTTCTGGGGACTGAACTCAGGTCATCATTCGGGCCCTGTGCATCCTTGTGGGCTCTACAACAATGAGTTCATCAGCCTTAGTATTACCAGCTGGTGACTACATTTCGAATATGAACTGGAGGGACACATATCTAGACCATAACATCTCTCCCCAGAGATGAGAGGATCCAAAGAACCCTCCAAACAGAGTTCTAAAGAGTCAAGTGTCATAAAAAAAAATGCCAAGAGGTGCTTGAGTGAGGAGAGGGTGACAGTGGCCACTTGTGTAGAGTTATGAGCGCTAAAGAAAGGTCAGAGTAAAGAGGTGAGGGTGAAGAAGAAAAAGGCCATTCTTAAGAGCACTGTGTAGCTGGGCATTGGTCGCGCACGCCTTTAGTCCCAGCACTTGGGAGGCAGAGGCAGGCGGATTTCTGAGTTCCAGGCCGGCCTGGTCTACAGAGTGAGTTCCAGGACAGCCAGGGCTATACAGAGAAACCCCGTCTCGAAAAAACAAAACAAACAAACAAACAAACAAACAAACAAAAAAAGCACTGTGTAAAAGAGAGAAAACCCATTTACATTATGAAGCAAAAACGAACTGTGCCTTGCCCTGGTTCTTTCCAATCCCAATTTCTACCCTGCTGTTGTGAAGAACCTGGAGTGTTCTAGGACGAAGCACGACATCTATTGTCTATCAGCACATCACCCCTAGCACCCTCCTACATCCTATCACCCCACAGCAGCGGAAACATGCTCCTTTAACCTTCACTGGGTTCCCCCCACCTTCAGTCCTAAAAATTGAACCTAGGACCTCAAGTATGGCCTTTTACCACTGAGCCATGTCTTCAGGCCCCCACCGACATCTTGAAACATACTTGATTTTCATATAAAAGTCTATTGTACTGCCTCCTTCAGTTTATGCTTACTGTGGAGCACCAGAACCCGAGAATATAAAAACCCACTTAAACAAGATTTGAGTGTAATTGTCAAAGATCACATATATGATGGCTATTCTTGGTTGTCAGCTTGACTTTCTGGAATGAGCTCCAATCCTGAAATGGAGGACACACCTGTGAAAGATTTCCTTCTTGGTTTGAAGTGGGAGAATCCACTTCTAGTGCTGACCTTTGAGATAAGAAGACACACGCCTTTGATCCAGATAGAGAGGTGGGGAGACATGCCTTTAATATGTTTTGGGTCATAGTTTCTGCTGGAAGTCTGTATAAGATCACGGAAGCAGGAAGCTTTGTTCTTTGCCTGCTTGTCCTTGCCTTGCTAGCATGTCCATTCCTTCACTGGCATTGGAGCCTTCTTCTTTGAGATTCCAACATATCCTGAAGACCAGGCGAGATACTCAGCCTTGTGGGACGGAGCAACCACTGGGTTCTTGGACTTTCCATTCACAGCTAGCCATTGTTGGATTAACTGGACTGTAGCCTGTAGTCAAGTCATTCCAGTAAATTCCATATATGTGTATAGATATGTGCATATGTATATATGTATACATATAAATACACATGTGTACATATGTATACATATATATACATATATACATATATATGTATATATATATATATATATATATATATAGAGAGAGAGAGAGAGAGAGAGATAGTTCTGTGACTCTAGTGAACCCTGACTAATACAACATATTACTTACCATTCACAATATATAGCAGTTTGACATGTCATTTTGTATATTGAGACTTTCAGAACTACTGCAGCATATTTCACAAGACTCGGTTGCTGTAATCTATAGTCATAAATGATAGGTTTTCAATCCAGAGTGTTTATATATAGTGTGTCCAAAGCTATTCTAAACGTATCATATATTTGATTCATTAGATACTATTCTCATCTTTATTTTGCAAACTAAGAAATACGGGACTTTGAACATTGTTCAAGATCCAATTCCAGTAAAAGCAGGAGGGACAGAAGAATTTGAATTCAAGCAGTCTACTTCAGGTAATGATCACCTTATGAGCTATCCTGATCTATTTATTTATTTATTTATTTAGTTAGTTAGTTTTTTTTTTCTTTAAGACAGGATTTCACTGTGTATCCCTGGCTGTCCTGGAACCTACTCTGTAGATCAGGTTGGCCTGGAGCTCACAGACATCTGCCTGCCTCCCAAGTGCTGGTACTAAAGGTGTGCGCTACTACCACCCTGCTGGTCAGCTGGCTGCCTTGTCTTTTATATCCCATCTGCCTCTATGCACATCTGTATTGTAAACTGAAGTTTCCAGTTCGAAAAAAAATCCTATGGCTATATTAAAGATTCTAAAAGGGGCTGGGTGTGGTGACACCCCTCCCTTAATTCTAGCACTCAAGAGGCAGGCAGATCTCTATGAGTTCAAATCCAGGCTGGTCTACAGAGTGAGTTTTAAGCCAGGTAGGACTACCAAGTAAAACCCTGTTCTAAAAGAGAGCGATTTTAAAAGGGGTGAATGGCTGATTGCTACTTTGTGATGCTATAAACTTGGAATGCTGCAAATCTAGACCAAAATTATCTTGGGCTATCGCCTGTCCCCCTAGTAGCCGTTCATGCTCATCTCTATGTCCGGCCAAATGTCCTTTCAATGATCAACTAAGACCTTGGGAATACAGCTACTTAGCAAACCATCAGCTTTCCCCAACCAAAGAGGTAAGAGTTTCATCACACATCTGAGACATGAGATTTCTCACTCGACAGTGACCTGCCTTCCTGCTATTTCCCACCAATTTATTTAGGAG